TTGAAATTTAATGATACACACCCACGCTAGCAAACCTTCCTGGCTTTAGGCATTCTCCCACAAATCAGAAAAGTTTTATGAGATTGCAAGAAAGATCATTGGCTTTTTTTCCTGCAATCTTTTAAGAAGTCAAAGAAATCTTCAGAAAATTTGGCATTTCTTTTTAAAATATGGAGGCCAGGGCAGCTGTCATCTGAGTGTCATATTTCTTCTATGTCATTGGGAAGTCCAGCAGTCACTGTATCCCTAATAGATCAATAGAAGGATTTTGGGACACAAGTCTTTGAAAATCTGGAATTCCGCTAGTGCCATATGCAATAACTTGGCTGCTGTCATTCTAGGCAGCAAGAGCATCCAACGATAATTTGGTGTCTAAGCCAGAGGCCTTATTTCTTTGAATTACTTTGAAATAAATTAAATAGGGACAAAGCCTTCACAGTAATGGCCCCTACTTTGCAGAAATCCCTTTTATGAAAATCAAGATTTTCCTTACATATCATCAGCCTGGAATTCTGTTGGAAAAAATTCTGCGATACAAGTTATGTCCAAAGTTCATCTTTGATGTCCTGCCTTACCTTTTCTTCATTGGTATTTTACATATAAGTGTGGGAAGTCAGCCCCCCCCCCAGAGAAGAAAATATTAAAGAGGCAGAAAAGCATGCCCAGTTTTTCTTAATAGCCCCAAGTCTCCCTCCCCCAAGCAGAAACCAACTCTGTAGAAATGCAGATGTAAATAATCCAGGAAGGTTGGAGGCCCACAGCTAGAAGATTAAGACACCTAAAATCTACATACCCCACCCAACTCTAAGACAGGACATAATAGGATTAACCCATAGATGCCAAAGGGCACACCCAGACTCAGGTCAAAATACATGACACAGGAAATACAAAGCCTCAAACACGAACAGGAAACAACCTCAAGAGCCCCAGAGGGTATAAAAACGCACTTCCTACATGTGCTCTCTTTTTCTCCCAGACCCTTCTTCCTGTCTGGCTCTGCTCCTCAAGAAACTGCAACCTTCTTTCTAAAGCAGTCGCCATGTTGTTTATTCCTGGCTTGGACTGAACCATGATGAAGACTTTTCCTTCAACATAAGGAAGCAGCTTTTTTCTCTTCCATGACTCTATGGGGGAAATCCATAGCAGAGGTCCTCCCGGACTTTAATGAGTCCAAAAATTGAAGACAAGAAAAGGAAAAGGCTAGAGAAGGAGGTGCACATACTCACTGCGGGGAGCAGCTGGAGTCCTCCCGGACCTCTTTTTGGTCCGAAAACTGATGGCGGAGTTCCCTTGGAGGGGGGGGTCCATACTCTGTAAAGAGAAGCAGAGTCCCCCCAGACTCTTTTTGATCTAAAAACTGTAGACGGGGCAAGGGGCTTCACTAGGAACCCCAAAGTTCGCTGGGACCCGATAGAGATGAAGAGAATCCTTATATCGGGAATAGGGAAACATGGGAAGCTCTAGCTCGAGGGTCATGGTACACTCCACACTGGAAGACTTGCTTAATGCCTGGGACAGGAGGCAATTGCCCATTCAGGCAAGTATGAAAAAGAGATAGGTAGAGAAAGTATTTTAAAAAAGGACTTTGCTCAGGGCTTTGCTGGGAAACCAATTTGGCTAAATAAAGGTACTTAAAGGGAAAATAAGAAAGTGATTCTCTCTCTCTCTCTCTCTCTCTCTCAGCATCACAGGGTATGTTTAAGATTTGTGCCTTCCCTAATTTGAGTTAACTGAGATTTATGATGGTAATGACTAGGACAGGTGTAGGCAATCTTGGTTCTTTTATGACTTGTGAACTTCATCTCCCAGCTTGGTCAGGAATTCTGGGAGTTGAAGTCCACAAGTCATAAAAGAGCAAAGGTTGCCTACCCCTGAACTAGGATGTGTTTCCCTTTCCTTTCTCTTTTCCTTGTCTTTGTGTATATATGTGTGTCAAAGTCTTTGTGTGTGAGGTAAATGTGAATTGTTTCTAATCCAAAGAGAAAAGAATTTTAAAATTCTGCTAGAAATTCTGTTTAAAATAAGCCACCAAAAGGAAAATACCCAACAGAGTGAAGAAAAATGGTTTTTTTTTTCTTTTCCCCTTTCTCTATCTGTACTCTTAAGAATAGCCAAAAGTTACCAGGAGGGAATGTTTTAAGTTCATCTGCTGGAAGTTTCACTCTTGCATTTACTGTATGTGTTGTAAATGGGTTTTTATCTGTCTATCCTTTTCCTGAAACATGCCCAGCATTTTTCAAGTTGCAAGTCCTAAAGTCCTCTCTAACATGTTACAAATGTTCAGTTCAGAACTGAGACCTTTCGTTTTGTTGTTCTCTTACCAGAATCCAGCCTCTCTTTTGTCCTCATCTGCGTTGTCCCATCTTATATGTTTAACCACTGCAGTATTAATGCCTTTTCAAACTCTTGTCTACAAGCTACCGCCCCCCCATTCTACTTCTCCTTTTCTTATCCTCTGTTCTCCATGCCTTTGTCTGCCGCTCCTGGGAGAATCCACCCAGAAAGGAGGGAGGAGATCTTGTTCTCATGTTTTTCAGCCCTACACAGATGACCCCCCCCCAACCTTTGGAAGCAGAGCACACTGATCCAGATGCTGCCTCCATCGATTTGAGCCATGGAATTGGGTTTTGAATCCAGCCATCCACTAAAAAGCCACCATGCAACCTGAGTGGAACAGATCTTCCCCGATGCTTGTGAAAGCTGCAGAGAAAGGAAGGAGTCCTGGAGCCATTGGTCCCCACATGAAGCCTCAGAAGAAAACTACTTTCACCTACTTTCAATAAAGCTCCAGCCTGATTCTTGCCCTGTGTCATTAAAACTTTGTAGGAACAACTTCCAGCAAAATTCCAAGGGGGAGGAAACCAGGCCCACTCAGGTGATTTGCAAGTCATATGCCCTGACTAGGGAAGTAGCAGAAAAGAGATCTCCAAACCTAAGCCCTAAATATATTGCACTGGTGGACTCAGATTGGGAGTCCTAGGGCTCATTATGTGCAATTTAAGAAAATGTAATAGCCTGGCTTGCATGCTTGCATGCTAGCTAACCTCAATTGGACATCACATCACTAACCTGGATGAAATGAACTAAAAGCTAAGGCAGGAAACAACCCTTGAAATTGGGCAGCTGGTGGTTATGTACTGATGAAGACCATGGCTGTGAAGAATTCTGAGAGGCATGTGCTTCAAAACCTGACTGGAAGCTCAAAGTGACATCCAACATTTAAAAATAATTGGCACAGAATATTGAACAGTATAAATTTCTTTTCTGTCTAACAAAATTTTTGCTCTGATGTTAGACCTTCATGGTTGAATTCTATTAGTGCCTCTCTTTTTTTTACATTAACAGTTTAAAGCTTGTTTACCAAGTCTACCTAATCAGATCAATCTTAATCTTGTGCCAGTAAAAGTGTGTCACCCACACTATTATGGCACAAAGGGGGGATTTGTGGGAAGTCAGCCCCCTTGAGAAGAAAATATTAAAGAGGCAGAAAAGCATGCCCAGTTTTTCTTAATAGCCCCAAGTCTCCCTCCCCCAAGCAGAAACCAGCTCTGTAGAAATGCAGATGTAAATAAATGCAGATGTAAATAATCCAGGAAGGTTGGAGGCCCCCAGCTAGAAGCTTAGGAAGACAAAGACACCTAAAATCCACATACCCCACCCAAACTCTAAGACAGGACATAACATGATTATCTCACAGATGCCAAAGGGCACACCCAGACTCAGGTCAAAATACATGACACAGGAAATACAAAGCCTCAAACACGAACAGGAAACAACCTCAAGAGCCCCAGAGGGTATAAAAACACACTTCCTACATGTGCTCTCTTTTTCTTCCAGACCCTTCTTCCTGTCTGGCTCTCCTCTTCAATAAATTGTAACCTTTTTTCTAAAGCAGTCGCCATGTTGTTTATTCCTGGCTTGGACTGAACCATGATGAAGACTTTTCCTTCAACATAAGGAAGCAGCTTTTTTCTCTTCCATGACTCTATGGGGGAAATCCATGCAATTTTTCTTCCCTGAAGAGAATTCCTAACTACACAGAGAAGGAATTGTGACCAATCTAGCATGTACCAACTGCACCAATGATGTAACCAAGTTTAGGTAATGAAAAATCTAAAAACCAAGCTGAGAGAGCAACAAGGACCTCTCAATCTAGCACGTGCTATGTTAAGTACAGGGGTAGCAAAGCTGCTACTTTGGTTTGAGTGTACTCTCTCTTTGCTTTTTCATAGGCTTTTTTTCCTTCAATATTAAAAAATTTGCAATCTGTTCCCACCTTTGGATGCTGCACTCACAGGAACTACTGCAGAGGAAGGACGAAGAACACTTGAACAGAAGAATTCTGTTCAAGAATTCTTGGTGCAAGAAAGCGAAGCCAAGCTCAGAATTTCCCTGACTCTCAGCCAGACATACACAAATTGGTGTTTCAAGATCTATTTCATTCGAAGGTTATATATTTATCTTGTTAGTACCCAACAATCAGAAAAGGATGACTCTAAAATGGCAGTAAGGCAGTCCACTCAGAAAACTGCTTCCACAGAACTGCAATCGTTAGCTATTCTCCTCAGATGCTATTAGCTAAAAGCTACCAATGCTATGCTATTGACCTGCAAATCTATCAGTTATTCTCAGCCAGCATGACAGAAAGTGGCTTTCGATGGATGTTAAGAGGCCAGAATATCTGGAGAGCACTTGGTTGAGAAAGGCAATCACAGAAGGAAAGGGACAATTAAAAAATAAGGAACAATGGAATTAAACTGTTTCAGTTCCAGAAAAGCTAAAGGTCACTGGCAGTTATACGATGGCAATTGCAAACTCCACAAGCCAACAGCTAAATTTTCGTAATTCTACTGCTATGCTTTATCAATTGGTCAAATTCTCTGGGACCTTGACTACTTTCCATATCTAAACAGCAACAAAGCATGTGAAATATAACCATATTCAGATAATATTGAGGGGTATAAAAAGGGAAAGAGTGAATAAAAGACAATAGCCTGTACTGAAAAGTAACCATTTATTAGAACCGATACAAGAAATATGAAAGAGTAGAGATGAGGAACATGGGGCAGAGGGTTATTTGTAACATGTCAGGTTGTACAACAAAGAGCTCATTTTAAAAATTATTTTCACACTTTAAAAAACCAGCATAACCTACTTTAGTTTAGAATCAAAAGGCTTGGCTAAAATGTTACCCCCAAAGAGGTCTAACACACATGCACAGAGACACCATTAGCCAAAAGTTCGACATTCTGTTGTGGAGGGCAGCATATTGCTGGGCTGGGAGGGAAAGAGTTAACACACCATCTTTCTCTTTTTTCATCAGGAGTCTAATACTGATCATAGGGATTCATTTCTGTAACCAGCACCAGGGGCATTAAACCTCCAAGGCCTTTTCACACATTCTGTGCACATGATTGGGCTTGTGTTTTCACCTGGATCCAAACAGATGTTCATGAATCTTCCAAACTCTTTGTTGCAAGCAAAAGCTGCAACTTGACATACTTTTGCAAATGATTCAAAGTGTTGCACAAAGAATTGTGGCATCGACCCAGAGTGAAGAATTCATGCAGTCTTATCTGTCAGAGACACAGTTGGATCCAGGCAGTCAAAAAAGCTCAATCAAAAGCAGAGCAATTCCTTAAGTCAACTCTCTTTTCATTTTTCAGAAGGAAAGAAATTTGACTGTTTGCTTTTGAGGCAGTGGAGTGAGGTATTATCTCAGAGGTCCCTTGTCCACTTGAAAACTTGCAGAGAAGTTGTTCCCAATGGAAAGAAAGAAAAGCGAGCAAGAAAGAGATGGAGAGACAGAGAGACAGAAAGAAAAAGGGCCATGACCAATTTTTGTCATATGGCTAAATACCAAATTGAATGGCATAAACTGGTAAAAATTATAGATAGTCGGTCACGTGAAACAAAGGAAAGGCAGCAGTGGTACAGAGGTTCTGAGACAATTCAAATTGTGCTGGCTGGCTGATCACTCTCCTCTTCCTCTTCCTGCTGGTGGGAGGAGACAAAATTCATTAGAGCCCATACAGCCGAGAAGATTTAAATGCCACCTGGGTAAAAATTAAATTGTTAATCAAAAATTAATGAGTTTAATTACCACAAAATTAATTCTCTTTGTATTTTAATCCATGCTTAGGTGACCGAGGATAACAATTTATGTTTGACAGCCTCTTAAGAAAGTGTTGCATCAGAAAACTGCATCTACATAATTGCCTTTACCATAAACTTAAATGCTGATAAATTCATAATAGTAGTCAGTTTAAAATATGCAATATTTAAACAGACACATAGAAAGCCAAGATTCAAACCTCCCGATGTATCATACACATATATACCCCATCCCCACAACTTTCAAACACAAGAAGACGCGAAAAAGCTGACACCAAAAAGTTTTTTTTCTTTTTTTTTTTTTGCCATTGAAACATTTAGACCAGGAGCCAAAAAAAAAAAAAAAAAAAAAAATGAGGCGGTGGGATCAGTTTAGAAGTCACCTAAATGCAGCATGAATGGCTTAGAAATCCTGGAAATTTAGAATCAGCTGGCTAGTTCTATACCAGTGTTTCTCAACCTTGGCAATTTTAAGGCATGTGGACTTCAACTCCCAGAATTCCACAGCCAGCCATGCTGGCTGTGGAATTTTGGGAGTTGAAGTCCACATGCCTTAAAATTGTCAAGGTTGAGAAACACTGTTCTATACTATACTAAGAAAGGCGAACTTAACAGGATCTTCAGCTAAAGGGTGAAACATTTTTTCCTTTAAAAAAAAAATCTGTTGATAGTTTAGAAAAAACAACTCTTGACTTAAAAGAAGAGCCTTTGAATAGGGTTACACCAGGCATGTCAAACTGCCGGGGATGTATCATACTGAAACTGAGCCCACCCCATTGCCGGCAATGGGGAAAAAGTCATGATACGTTGCGCGACGTCACGTGACACCACAAGTTTGACATGCCTGGGTTACACCATATTACAGAGGTCACACTGTGGGACAGCTGTTGCTATACTTACAGTTTTGCCAGTAGAGAAAACTAGCATTTTAGCATTTCAGCTGCAGTTGCTAAAGCAATTCTTCAAGTGTCAAGTTGCCCTATTTTTGCTTCATTTGTTTGACAAAGAACCTTCTGATGTTCATTAAATTTGACAAATGATGAAAGGTCCTGTGTGTATGCTACTTTATATTAATGGTGCATCCAAAATAAAATTTTAAATTATGTAGTTGAGGGTGGAAGAAGGCCAAGATTGTATGCTAGTTATTCTAATAATTCTCCCCACATGGCAACAAATCAGTCACATTCATGCATTGAACAAGCCGTACAAGAGTAGGCATTTAAAACACACATGCACTAGTCCATCTCAAAATCCTAGCAAATACTTCCAGAGAAAGAGAAATGCCAATTTTTTTTCTTTTATTTTTTTTACTAGTAACAGCATTGTCACTATCAATTTCCTAAAATGCCTTTTTCTTTTTAGCCTGGCACACAAGTAATCTTGTAATCACAGAAGTCTTCCTTGTTAACTCCATGTAAAAATTTCTATTAGCAGCTGTTGGTGAAGAAGGTAGCTTTTAGGCTGGTACATACAGGAGTAGGGAAAAAAAGGTGCACTTCAAGGCTGTCTTAAGCTTTCTCTCCAATACATTTGAGAATAAAGTAAGGGTAAAATCAGCAAGGTAGCAGGATTTTAATACCTAAAGGTTATCAGAGTTGGTTCCTCAACACTTTGGGAAATGTCTCTTATTTAGCCTGCAATTCAACTTGATTCTGGTTTGCCCAATGAATTTAGCTGGTGAGAGGCAATGCCAGCCAAAATACCTGAAAAGACACAAACTGGAAAGCTAATAATCTAGTAACAGCAGAGACCTTCTCCATCTTAGACTTGACTTTACAGGATTGCAGCACAGAAAGGAATGGCAGACTATCAATCATCCACAGCACTTGCTCCAGATTCAACACTCCTTCTACCACTTTGCCCACTTCCACAAAATACAGACAATGCAGATACATACTGAGGCATGGGTGAAATCCCCAGGAGTGATTTAGAGCATCATTGTGTCAATGTAACAATAATGAGGACAAATTATAGCGCCTCAATGATGGCTGAAATTTGTTATGTGATGCTATTAAATCACGAGTGAGCATTGGCCAGTGCTTGAGAAGAAACCATTAAAGACATATAGCCTTTAAAGGGGAGACAGGGCTCTGAGGCAAATACAGGTAGTCCTCAACTTAATGGAGTCTGCCCATTACAGTTAAGTCAGGATGGTTGTAAAGCATGCCACCCATGTGACTGACCCAATTTTATGCAGTGGTCTTTGAACAAACCAACTGATTGCTATGGGCCAAAAATCTGAAGTAAATGCAACTATGTAACTGCAAGACTGCAATCATAAACACAGGTCAGTTGCCAAGTGTCTGAAAAGTACCCTGGGCAGTCTGTTGTAATGTCATAAGACAAGGATTACCTATATGTGACTCTTGCTCTCAGCAGACTCTTCAGATGTCTGGGCTTTTTTTTTTTCTGGTTCTAATACAACTGGGAGTTGAAGTCAAGTCATAAAAGGGCCAAACTTGAAGATCCATTCTAATACATGTTCCTCATCACACCTACTAATCCATCTCCTACCAGATAGCTGATGACACCATTTTCCCCCCTAAGCTAAAAGAGTAAGCTTCCCACCTGAGCTAATAGTCCTAATAGGACATCAAGGGCAAATACTGTATTTAGCCAAGCGTTTTTTAATTCTCCCAGAAAGATGTTACTTAAAAGCTTAAATTATTGCCAATACATATTTTCTTTTGGGGGGGAGGGCTCTAAAAATACCATCTTTATCCCTGAACTTCACATGTATTTTTCTACAATCCCCACTCTTATGACAGGGAATGGCGGTGGTTTGTCCCTCCTCTGACTCCTTTCAGATACTCCTCTATTCTTCCGTTCCATTCTTCCATCCCCACCCAGTTTGGTTTACCATTGTTCTTTCTAGTGTTAATTTCCCTTTACTCCATTGCCACTATTTTTGTGATTTTCTGGAAGAAAATGGTCTCATGAATGCATATATCCTCGTTTGTAGAATGGTGGACTTGTATTACACAGAAATCATTTAATTTTAGAAATGGGTACCTTGTTTTATAGGCAATTATTTTTAATCATTAATTATTCAATTTATTTTTTGTCCTGGTCTTGTCCTTGTTGGGGAGTGGGTTCTGGTCAATGTATGTTTCACAAAAGCACATGTATGTGCAATAGGGAAAACCTCCAGAACTGCTTTCTGCTAGAGTTAGCAATTTGTAGGTAGGTAGGTAGGTAGTAAGCTGCACAAAACTGAATATTGTATTTATTTTTCTCTGTTCTTTTCTTGAAGGAGTTAGAATTCAGAAGTCTTCCTTTTAGGAAGATGTGGAGCATCCAGGTGCTTTTATGTTTTGCTTCATTTTAGACAGATGGCTATTAATAAATTGTCATCTCTACTGCTTTTATCCTTGATAGTAGTCATACAATACATAATAATTTGACCTCCTCAGCTGTCATACAGAAATTAGAGAATTCCAAGGGAGTGGGGCAAGATAACTAGTATTCTGTGAAGTATAATGGATGAAAGGGATATTTTTCTCATTTGAGAGTCACATGCAAAAATCAGAACCTGAGGCTGACTAAAAAAAAAAACAAACCTCAAGTAATTATTTATTCAATGTGTAAGTGGTACAAATCACATGCAAACAAACTGTTAAATCCATACAGCTTCCCAAATCCTGTTTTGCAACTGCTGTCCTCTTCCAGCTCATGTGATTCAGATGAATGAAAATACCCCCACACTGAAGAACTAATGCAGTAAAAAATTAAGTTCAGTGGGATTCAAGAGCAATAGCTGGCCATTAGCCAAACGCAGCTATGTTTCTGTCTATGTATGAAGCTTTCAAATGGAATCAGAAATGCAATGCTAATGTCCGATCTATAGTCTGAACTTTCACTTATCTCTTGTTTAACATTGTTGAAAATGACTGTACCAAATAAGGAGTGTAAAAAAGAAATATTTCTATTAATTTATGTTTTTTTTGCAGCAGTGCATTTCTTTCAACAAGATCCCCTTCAAATTAAAATTTTAAAAGTGTCACCCATCCCCATTAAGGAAGCAAACAGTATTCAGTTCCACAGAATACGCTAAGCAAAGCCATAGAGGCTGCATATCTTAGAGGCAAACCTGCCTCAAAACCACTGAAAGATGGACTGGTTGCAAAATAGGTTCTTAAACTACATACGTGGAATGATATCATGAGTCAAACAAATTAGAATACATGTTTCATAAATGTTTTATCTTGATGTGGTTGACATAAGTACACCTATCAATTTAATCAAAGGAAATCCACCAAAACAAAAATGCCCACACTTCTCTGATGCTAGGCATTTAGCAAGATATGGGGCTTAATGACATATGAATCATTAATTGTGTCACAGATGTAATCCATGTCATACTACATCATACCATGCCCTGTTGCAATTCCTGACAGATTATTAGCAGGATACAGAATACATAAATGGAAGGATGGCAACCTACTTCATCTGCTTGCTAAACAAAAGGAAAGAAATTCAACAATGCAGAAATGAAGTAAGTAGTGGTGGGATTTTCTGATCAAGCATGGGTAGCACATCTCTTCTCACTATAAAAACAAAACAAAACAGCATGAGTACTGCTAAGGTAGCAGAGACCAAAGAGCATGAATTCAGATTCTGAAATAAATGTTAAGGACCAAGGTCCATTTTAAAGTAGCCTGCACCATATTTCAGTAATGATTCAAGCTCCTATCAAATCTTACTAGTACGGAGGACTCTTCTATTAGGGGGTATCCAAAAATTCAGATACTGCAGTAAGAGACTGGCACTTTTCAAAACTGATGCAGCCAAGTGAGTCTGCAGCAGTGGAACTTGAAAATGAAATCCCATTACCCTGTCCTGAAGCCGAAGAATAAGATGGAAAGCCACTGCTGAAATAGCATTTGTAAGGATCAACATCCCAAACCAGGGATGGGCAATGTGTGACCCTCCAGCTGTTCTTGAACTCCACTTCCCATCCAGGATAGTCAGTGATGAAGCACAATTGGATTTGCAATCCAAGACGTCCTTATATTCTGTAACATGGTATTTCTAGCTAAATTGCTAATAAATGTGTTTTATCTGTGGAATTCACTTCACTATGTATTTTAACTGTCAATTGTTCAGAATAAAAATGCCAGTCTGGGACTTTTGCATTTTCTGAGCGGTTCTTGCCATGCAGCCAGAGATAACTATGCTCATCTGGTAATTTTCTCTGAAGATATACCTGAATACTTATTCAGAAAATAACAGATTGACATACTAGAATGCAAAAGCAGAGGATATGGTGGGGAAGTCTTTAAAGAAACAACTAAGATCTCAGAAACAAATCGAATTAGAATTTTGGAACCAGAGTTTGGATTTTTTTTAAAAAAAGAAAAAGGAATTAAGTTTCCAAGTATGACACTATGTTTGGCTGATCCACTTACCTACATAACACAAAGGCCCTATTTGTGCAACATGAATGATCCAGTTCTCTTTAAGCCAGTTAATTCACACTGGCACACTCAGGGCACATGATCCCAAATGACAGAGATGATCATTCAGTGACACTGTATTTAGTCCTCACAGGAGGCATCACTTTCTTTCTTACTTCATGCTGTACCCTCCATTCCCTGGGAAAGTAAATCGAGTTGCCACAATGCAATTAAGGTTGGTGTCACTGCAGATTCATGGAGTTATACATCCCAACTGTATCTGCTCACTTTTCAGACATACACCTGGAGTGCAATGAATGAAAAATCAAAATGACTATAGAAATGGAAGGCCCACAGAAGCTCTATTTTTATAGGGCTTCTCTAGGGGTACATGTTGATCACAGTTGTTAAAAGAGGGAGTGAATTCTCTAGCAAGTGGGGGGGGAGGAGAATTTGTTGCCATGCTAAGTTATAGGTCAACTAACTCAATTTTTGGAGTACACACAACATGATTAATTAGATACCCTTATAATCTAACTAAACATGTCATGCAAGTAGCACCAGTAATAAGGTAAGAGACATGGGAAGGAACAAGAGGAGTAAAATGAGAAGGGACAGGTTCAAAAGATGCTATCCTTGCCAACTAATTTCTATTTGTTCTCCAAAAGGTAACTGTTTTGAGCTGAAGTTAGAAAATTAGGATGAAAATGGCTACCTAGCATCTTTGAATGCAATTCAAGCAACATGTTAGCAATTTTGAAATAAATTTGGGTCTGTCCTGAATTCAGGGAGCTCCTGCCATTTTTAAATCAGTAACAATGATGGTTAACAATTCTCTACATAGAACATGATGATGCAGAACTAAATAGCCAGGCAAGAAGAAAAGGCTGGAAGCTCCGAGGGAGCTTTAAAAACAAAAACCATTATTGTTATTTATGATGAGGTGATAGAAGAACACACACGGCATGTCAATCTCCTGGAGGGAAACCAAACGTGACTCACACCATTTATGTTATGACTAAACCAACCAATATCAACACTTCTCCTGTCGAGCACAGTAATAAGCACATTTCCATGGATGCATTTGGGCAGAGGGAAAGGGATGGCGGATATGTACAATTCTGGATGGACAGAGAACCCCAGCCACTTTAGCTTTTCACTGCTTCCCGTTCTTTGTTTTCAGCATCTTCGGGGTACGCATGCCAGGTCAGTCTCTCTTCATAAAATGCTATCACAATTTGAGGGCACTTCACATTGGCTTCTTTTGCTAGAACCAGATCAGCCTCATCTGTGTCTTTCCTAAAGAGAAACAAGCAACAAAAGGAGCACTGGTCACTAACTGGTTAAGCAAAAACATTCCATCCCAAAGGAGGTACAATAAAAATAAACAAGGGTTTAGGTACCTATTTTATAATGGAAACAGCACCAACAGCAGACACCAGGAAACAGGTATCTGAACTGCCAATTAACGTGGGATTATGATGGGAGGCAGGTATTGCAAAGTTTTTGATACCCATTGATTTTATGAATTTTAGTTACACTTACTGCGTATCATATAATTTGTATGTTTCAATGTGAATATGCTCCTGCTTTAATCAGCAACTGCTCCTTCTGGACAATTCATTTATGGACAGATACTGCCAGCAGTTTCTTTTGTCCTAGTTGCTAACTAGAGGACACTGCTGGTCCAGTGAATCCAATCCTTTGAAACCGATGAACCTAATGCTGCAGAAAGTTTGCTGGTTTTGTAATTGCTATTAATATTCAAAAAGAAATCTCATTGCATCCTCTATATCAGGGTAGGCAACCTTGGCTCTTTTATGACTCGTGGACTTCAACTCCCAGAATTCCTGAGCCAGCCATGCTGAGGGGAAAGGGAGAGGTTTCCAAGCTGAGCCATGCTGGTTCAGGAATTCTGGGAGTCGAAGTCCACGAGTCATAAAAGAGCCAAGGTGGCCTAACCCTGATCTATATTGCTATAGAGAAACAAAGGGAGATACCTCCTCTTTAACTGTTTACAGGAGCTTTCTATTTTCAAGTAAGATGCCAAAATAAAATCAATCTGTCAAAATCTATCTTTAAAAAATATGTTCACTAACATTATGCCTCTGATTAACTAAACTGAAAGTTTTAATGGCACATTTTTAGTGCAAATGAGCTGAAGACAGCAAGCCTCTTTTTGAAAGGCATACCCATTTTCCAGAGGCATTATCTTAAAGAGGCACCCATCTTTGGAATCTTTTATTCAATTTTGCCCAGTTTCAGGAAGAGATACCATAAAGATATTCAAGGACAGAAAAGTACACTAAATGTTTACAATGCAGCCCATTCCCCAGGGCATTCCCGCAGATATCCAAATTTCATTTTCTTGATAAATCATATGGCTTTGGACTGTGCCTTTATGCAAAGTCTCTACAGATATTTTAAAGACTTAGTTTCTATTTTAAAATCTTAATATGAAGTCATATAAGATGAAAAAGTTCTACAGATAAATTAACTTTCAAAAACATTAAGCAAACCAAACAGAAAAGTAAAATACAAGGTTGCCTTGAGGAACAGGAATAGGCAATAGCAAATAAGGTAGTCCATGGTGTTAACTAATGGCACATAAAAAAGAAAAGCACAAAAATGTCTCCTGAAGGACCATCTAAACACATTTTCTATGGTTTGTTTTTTTTTATTTATTTAAGAACTTTGAAGAAACTTATACCAATTTTATGTGTCAGAAAAAGTCACTACAGAAGTTGATGGCATGGAATAAATTCATAATACAGACTGGGTCCCTTCCATCTGCCCTCAACTATAACTTCCACAATCCCTGCCAATATGCTACTGTAGGGAATATCTGGGTGACACCTGGATGAGGAATTCTAATGGGAAAAGCATCAGTTGGTTTATTAGTTTTGTTTGTTGTTCAGTTCCACCCACAGCTTCCCTACCTGCTTAACTAACTACCATTCAAGGAATAGTAGTACTGATTAAGGCAGTAAACTTTTAATTAATGGCACTCAACTGAAGATTTCGTTAAAATTAATCTATACCCATTTAATTAAATGGGCACAAATGACAAACACACATTCTGAGACAAGAATTCTTGTCTAACAAGATGCCCCATAACTATGCCAGCAATTCTGTTAAAAGAAATTAGAGGATGATTTTTCTTTTAAATATGTTCTCCAACATTAGTACTTATAACCTGTAATGGAAAAGCTTTTACAATCATCATCAGTAACTAAGACTAATAGTGCTCAATGGCAATCAATACAAATACGTTTAAGCCAAGATTTTACCATTGTTCTTTGCTGTTTTTTTAAAAAAGCAGTAAGTACAGTATTTCATATTCCAACAGAGCTGAAAATATAGCTTTTCTTACAGCTAATTTAATACTGCTTATTAAATTTGCAAATAATTGCTTTCTGATAACATTCTCATTAGAAAATCTGATTTTCACTGGGCTTTCTCTAGAGCAAATGTAATAGGACTGCAACCTTAATTCAATAACTGAGTTAAAGAGCCAACGTAGCTAATATGTATTACTAATAAACATAGAGCACATCAATTTCAAAAGTAAGATTAAAAAAATAATCTAATGCACAGGACAGAATTAATTACAATTAGTATAGCTAAACTTTGCAATCTGTTCTAAGAATATCATGTATTAGATATTAATTCCACTGTTTAGGAGATTAGACTCTTTTGAACTAGCTAATTTACTGGTCTGAGTGCAAATGCACTCTAAGGGATGATTTGATCCTGGCCTATAAACCCTAGGTTTGAATCTAAACCTGAGCCACATCTCATTCTTTTAAATTCAGTTCTTTTATAAATCAGTAAAAGCAATCTAACTCACTAGAATGTGAAAACTTTTCTATAGTAATTACTGTAATTCTTATATACAGTAAGTACAGCAAACAGCTTTACATATTCAGGATACTGTCTAAAATATTACTCTATTAGCTTTATGAATACATTTCTTGTCCTTCAGAATTCAGATCAGCTGACAGCAATAACCCTAGACATTTACAGACATTCAAACAGTAAGCATTTTAGATCTTACTTTGATCAATAGTATGGGAATTGAAAATTAGGGCCTCAAAGTATACAATCACTACTCAATTATAACTGCAATTCAGGTGATGTAACAGGAGTGCCCATTTCAGGAATTGTGACCATTAGAGGATAATTCGGTAACCTGTTTGCATTCACTCACAGCCCCCAGCGTTTGGTCGCATAACAAAGAAAACACGATGGTGGAAAACTACCAAGCCCTTTAGTCTTTGCTCTTCTTCCTTCCCTCCCCCCTCCTTTTCTAAAGAGTGGCCAGCAGCTGGATCCCCGCCCCCACTCTATCTTGCAAGGAGCAGCAGCCCCATCCATCTCAGCCCAGCCAGCTTTAGAGACAGGAAAGGAGGACAAGGGCTTATTTTCTCCAGTGCCTTGTGGTGGGGGAAGACCTGCTCTTCTAAGATGGAATCTTGATGGAGTCGGGGATGAGGAAGATGTGGAGGGGGGGAAAGGCAATTTTCTTAAAGGCAGCAATGCTATAACCTCTGTCTGGCTGATAAACCAGGCTCTGCTCTTTGTCTCGGTTTCTGCTGGGGGAGGGGCAGTTGCTGCATAGGCAGCCGAGCCAACTCTCTCTCTCTCTCTCTCTGCTGCCTGCCTGTCTGTCTGCAGAGAGGTTTCCCGCCGAGATAAGCCCAGGAACAAAAACAAGAGGCAAGTCAAAACCTTTCCAGAAGGATTTCCTGTGCTCTCTCTACTTTGGGGGACAAGGAGGGAGACAGTAAATTTGCCTTCCTTTAAGCAAAATCCATACGACTGTAAGCTCAGGGTGGACTGCATTTATAAAGCAGAAGCTTAACAGCCACTCCAGGGAGAACAAAGCCCAGCCAACAAACTGCCATTGAGCCATTAAACCATGGTGCCTCACGCAAGAGGGTTAATTTATTGGGTTATTTCACAAAGGAGGAAAAATGCAGTTATCGGACAAGGATTTTTTTAAAAAAATTTTTTTAAAAAATTAAGAATAAAGCACACTCACCATTTCATTAGGAACATTAAATCTCCGCAGGAGTCTGTGGCTCCGATGATTTTTTCTGGCTCCAATCCTCTTTCAAAGCCCCTGGCAATATCGGTGCTCTGATGGGAGAGAAAGTGAGAGGAAAAAGAGTTAAAATATTCCTATTCCTTAGCCATTTGTTAGTCTCCTCAACCATGAAGCAGAGACTTCCAGGGCCACTCAGAAGCAGGTGATAAACAGATGCCATACGTGGCGTGATTGTAATTAGCAGCCGAGGAGGCCTTAATATCTTTTCTGCCTGTATTATTAATCTTTGCACTCTCCCTCACCACACGTTGGGGGAGAGAGAGATCGTCGAGGTGAAGGAAAGAAGCCTAAAAGGCAGGGAGGGGGAGGGGGGAAAGACCCGAAGTCGCCATGAAAATGAACTAAGAAAGCAATGGGGGCAGATTGAGGGAATTAAGTCATCTTGCCTTTGCAGCAGCTGCTGCAGCAGCAGCCATTCGCGATTTCCAAAGCTCCCCATCCCTGCTACGCCTCCCCCGCTCCAGAGCGCACCACCTCTCTGGGCTCTCACAGTCCTCGAGGTCTTTGTGCCGGTGGTGCCGTCGATGGGTGTGTCCCATTCATGCAGAAGGGGGGAATTTTTGGTTGGTTGTTGTTGCAACCGAGAGCTTAAGTCTCCGGGGCCCCAGACAAGGGTCAATCAGCTCCCTCTGCACATACCATCTGAAGGCTGGTAACAGCTTTCAGTCACTGCAAGCCTGGAGCGAGAAGCGTTCTCCCTGCTTTGCAGCAGCAGCAGCAGCAGCACCACCACCGCACGCTATTCTGCTAGAGATCCACACATTTGTTGCTCACACATACTGTCTAGCAGATGCAGCTATGCAGACCCAAGCATGTCAGAGGCAGACAGGCTGGCTTTTTTTTTTTTAAGTATTAAAAGCTAGTTGCAAAGTGAGAAAGAAGGAAAAGAAAAGCAATGCATTACAATAACCTACAACAATAAGTGAAAGAAAAGAAAATGCAACAAAATTGAACCAACTCATTTAATTGATTGGTACAACCCACAGGAAGGAAGGAATTTCCCAGCTGCAATCTGTTGCAAAAGAAAGCCATCAAAGTATTTAAGCACTCTCCTTTTAATTTTTCAAAAATGTCTAATATTACGGGCAGGATTTTTTTAAAACCTCAAAAAAAACCACAAGTTAACTTTAATATATGAATTGGTCTTAACCTCCCAAGACATGTATGATGATGGTAGGAAAAATGGAGAACTTGATGCAGAATTAAAACTAAAAAAACAATTATGTATCTAGATTCAGCAGAAATGGGTACCTACAATCTTCCAATAGCTCCAAGATACAGCTAAACTACAACTCCCAGCATTCTTTTCTACTGGCCAAGAGAGCTGGAGTTAATGGGAGTTGTAGTTTAGCATTTTACCTGGCCGGCTATAACTTCCCCATTCAATTTAGATAAATAGGCATGAAATAAGTTTCTGAACATTTTAAAAATATCTAATTCCTTAAAGTACCAGCAACCATTAAAATTGTTGTTAATTGCGAAGTCGTGTCCGACCTATCGTGACCCCATGGACAACGTTCCTCCAGGTCTTCCTGTCCTCTACCATCTTCTGGAGTCCATTTAAGTTCACACCTACTGCTTCAGTGACTCCATCCGGCCATCTCATTCTCTGTCGTCCCATTCTTCTATTGCCCTCAATCTTTCCCAGCATTAGGCCCTTCTCCAATGAGTCCTTCCTTCTCATTAGGTGGCCAAAGTATTTGAGTTTCAACTTCAGGCTGTGGCCTTCTAAAGAGCAGTTGGGGTTGATCTCTTCTAGGACTGACCGGTTTGAATGCCTTGCAGTCCAGGGGACTCGCAGGAGTCTTCTCCAGCACCATAGTTCAAAGGCCTCAATTCTTTGGCGCTCAGCCTTTCTTATGGTCCAACTTTCACAGCCATACATTGCAACTGGGAAAACCATGGCCTGGACTATACGCACTTTTGTTGGCAGGGTGATGTCTCTGCTTTTTAGTATGCTGTCTAGATTTGCCATAGCTTTCCTCCCCAGGAGCAAGCGTCTTTTAATTTCTTGGCTGCAGTCCCCATCTGAGGTGATCTTGGAGCCCAGAAAAATAAAATCTGTCACTACCTCCATTTCTTCCCCATCTATTTGCCAGGAATTGAGAGGGCCGGATGCCATGATTTTGGTTTTCTTAATGTTGAGTTTCAAGCCAACTTTTGCACTCTCTTTCTTCACCTGCATCAAGAGGCTCTTTAGTTCCTCTTCACTTTCTGCCATTAGAGTGGTATCATCTGCATATCTTAGGTTGTTGATATTTCTCCCTGCAATCTTAATTCCAACTTTTGTTTCATCTAGCCCTGCCTTTCTCATGATGTGCTCTGCATATAAGTTAAACAGGCAGGGTGACAGTATACAGCCTTGCCGGACTCCTTTTCCAATTTTGAAAATTAGTATAGCCTTAAAGATTGCTACTACATCACTCAGCTACTTGGTAGAACAAAGTCTTTAAGACTTACATACAAATTAGCCAGAGCAGTAATTAGATAATGGGCTGACTAAATTATATTACTTTAAAATTTCTGTATTTTCAGCAGGATTTGTAACTATCATTAAGATTTGGTCCTGCACTGTGAGATTGTAGACCACTACCCTCTGATTGCAGACAAGAGTTTTGTCTAAGCAAGCTTGTAAACATATTTAGCAAATTTAGAAACTGCCTATTTTACTCACAACACACAGACAATGTCTTTTCCCCTCTGATTACATTTGAAGGTTTTAACTGATAGTTTGGCAATTTGTTGGGGTTTTATAATATCTGTATTACAGTTTATTAATGCCATTTTTGGATCTCCAAAAAGCAGATCATGCAACTTTTAATTTAAAACACTTGAGCAGAAGGGAATGCTGATATTCCCTTTGGTAAATATTCCCATAGACAAATTCCATTATTGAAAATAAATTTAGTAAGTTAAAAGATTCCACACTTTTGCCTATATTCTGCTCCTGTGCCCCAAACTTGCTGTGGGAAGTCAGCCCCCCCATAGAGAAGGAAATATTAAAAGGGCAGAATATTATATTTCCTCAAAGGATCTTAAAGAGGCAGAAAAGCATGCCCAGTTTTCTTAAAAGCCTGAAGTCTCCCTCCCCCAAGCAGAAACCAGCTCTATAGAAATGCAGATGTAATAATCCATTCAGAAAGGCTGGATCCAGGAAGCTAGAAGCTTAGGAAGACAAAGACACCTAAAATCTATATACCCCACCCAAACTCTAAGACAGGACATAATAGGATTAACCCACAGATGCCAAAGGGCCACACTCAGACTAAGGTCAAAGTACATGACACAGGAAATACAAAGCCTCAAACAGGAACAGGAAACTATTGCAGAAAATCACAGGACTCAGACCACGGAATCAAAAGAAGTTGGTTTATTTTGCGCAAAGATTCAGAGTACTATATTTGTAGCCACATCTGAACAGCTTCATATAAAAAAACACAAGTTTATATATTCTCGTCAGAAACAGCAAAACACGGAAATGTAACTGATAGCATGGATTGGATGCTTCGAATCACAGCCCCCTTACAGCATACAGCCCCCTTTCCTTAGCTAACATATCTTGCTTAAACTGAATTTTCCTACCTACAGCGTCTAAACTTCCTACCTAACTTGTGGTTAGCTGCAAATGAGACATAAAGACATGTGGTTAGCTGTAGCAGAGCTTCAAACTTCACACTTTTGTGTGACCGACAAATGAACTTGTGGTTTGACATCTTTCATTTCCTTTTGTTCTCCTTCTAACTAATACACGCATTTAAGACTCATGTCCTGTTTTATGACTTAAGTCCTGCTTTATGTCCTGCCTTAAAACAACTCCAAACAAAAGCCCAAGAGGGTATAAAAACCCACTCCCTACTACATGTGCTCACTCTCTTCTTTTCTTCCAGAGCCATCTTTCTGTCTGGCTCCCCTCTTCAATAAACTACAACCTTCTTTCTAAAGCAATTGCCATGTTGTTTATTCCCGGCTTGGACTGGACCCTGATGAAGACTTCCTTCAACACTGCCTTACATGTAAAATATATAAAATGAAATCTATGCTGGAAGACAGAGATAGCCCTTCATTAGAGCTCCTCAAAAGGCTTGCAACTGGCCAGATAGAGAAAAAACAAACAGTGAAAACCAACAACAACAATACTTCAAATAAATACTTTCCTTTGAGTATAGTGCAAATAACAGTGCAGAATTTTGAGATACCAAAATGTTTTTATAAAAGTCCTTTTTACAAGCTTCATTGTATTTCTTTCCCTAAAGAATACAGAAGGCTAAGGTACAATCAACAAAGCCACACATTATACACATACACAACATTTAGTAAACTATCAAATGTGCACAATCAGAATTGATCACTCTTCTACCAATAGAGTTTCTCAAAACCCTAAACTGACATCTTGTGATATAGTTTCAATAGCTGGATCAAAGTAGCACGGGATAATAACGTAAAAGATTTGTTTTTCAGGGATGGATCTGGATATTAAATGTTTTTTCCTATTCATCCAGGCAAAAGTGTATCTTGTCCTAAAAGCAGCACAAATATCCTTATACTGTAATAATCTTGCAAAGTATATTAGACAAGATAAAGAGAATTGAATATAAGTATCCACCTAGCCAAAACTTAAGACTTTCCTTCTAAGCTAATATTGCCTTGCGCTCCTGGTTCTTGTGCTATCTAAATTTCCAATTCTATAACTCACGATTGTTTTTTTTTAGATACTTCAGTGATCAGTGTACTTGTGGAGATATGGTAATGTGTGAGAAGAATTTTCCAGAAAATGACATCTAATGGAAATCCATTGTTGATCTACTAAAACTGAGGTAGCCTGTTGTAGTTCTGAAAAGAAACACTGGTAAATGAGAAAAGTCCTGAGCTACAAATAGTATAGACACTGCTATCTAGGTGCCAACCCAAGCGAAGGAGGGGGATAGAAAATAGAGATAAGAGAACTTGAGAAACAGAAACTGTGGCAAGCAGCTACTGTACCTCTCAACTCTGATTCTGCAATCTCAGTGTAATAAAATAATAGTGGATAGCTCACCCTGTCTATTGTACTACTCAAAAGCAGCAAATAACACAAATCTGTCTATTATTGCACCACTTACTTTTTCTTTCAATTCTGATGTTACAGTCCCCAATGCCCTAAGCCAACAGCAGACGGTTCAAACCCGTCTTTCTACTCAAAAATAGCAGATAACTGAAAACTAGAAAGCAATGCAGCACCAGTCCATTTTAGAGTGGTTCATTTGAGGGTGGCCTCTTTCCCATCTTTATAACATAGCCTCTCAAGATCAGCCAGAAGTAACTACTCAGGCTACTAAGGGGAACATCAATGGGGTGATTGGGCGTTGTACTTTTTAGGATGTAAAGACACTGAACAAGAGTAGAGTAGAGTAGAGTAGAATAGAATAGGAAGGGACCTTGGAGGTCTTCTAGTCCATTCCCCTGCTCGAGCAGGAGAACCTATACCATTTCAGACAAGTGACTGTCTAGTCTCTTTTTAAAACTCTCCACTGATGGAGCGCCCACAATATCTGAAGGCAAGCTGTTCCACTGGTTAATGAATGGGATAAATGAATGGGCAAAAGTAACAGAGGGGAAAAGAAGAATTCTGTAGTTAATTAAACCTCTCCTCTAAGGCTCAAATTAAACTTTTTAAGAATGAGTGGTTATGAACAATATAAGAATGTTTGGGAAATATAGCAAAGTGAGCTTGATCTTTTTTTTCCCTTCTCTTGTTCCAGGCAAAATTTCACTCTAAATTGCCCTCAGCCCTGCAGTGATTGAGTGGTGGTTAGTGCAGTGTTTCTCAACCTGGGCAACCTGAAGATGTGTGGACTTCAATTCCCAGAACTCCTCAGCCAGCCATGAATATTAGGGTAAAACCCCAGTTATCTTATACAAGATATAACACAGCAAGGAATGTGCTACTGAAAAGATGTTTTGCTGACTAGCCTCAGGTTCAAGTTTCTTTATCACACCTAAGTACTAGAGAAGATGCCTACATAAGAATAGCAGTTAATTAAATTTCTGACTTACAAGAAAAGGAGCAAAAAATGCCTTGTAATAGACATTATCAGAGCAAAGTGAGCTCAACTATCTATGCACATTTTTTTTTTCAGAAATACCATATATCAAATAGTGCACATATTGGCCGTAGGAAGAAGGTATACAAAGAACACAGTGCTCAAAAACACATCTGATCAGCAATAACTTCATTGCCAATCTATGATTCCCAGTAGCTCTCTGCTGTTGTACAGCCTCCTCAGAAGGCTAATTTATGGGTTGAATGTATATTTAGGATATTAATTTCTGTTGGTCAATAACAATGATTAAATACCATGAAGAAATTAGGAACATTTAGCCTTGAGAAGACTGAGTGAGAATAAAGAAAGCATACTTCAAAAACATGGAATATTTATTTATTAATCACATTTTTGCACTGCCCATCTCACCTACATGACTCGGTAATATCATGCAAAAGTCTTCTTAGGACACTAAATTTAAGTTAAAGTCATTGAATGGAATGTTCAACTAAATGTTAGGAAAAACATTCTAAAGGCAAAAATGATAATGGAAGCAACTATCCAGATGTTATGGCCTCCCATTCACTGGATGTTTTGAAGCAGAAGCTAAAAAGGCATTTGTTTTCATTTGGATTTCTGCACTTAACAGGAAATTAGACCTCTAAGAATCCCTGCTATGCATTATTCTAATCAACTTGCTCTAAAAAACAGAGGCACCATCTTGAACAAGGAACCATGGCAACCTAAAATGTTAGAGAACTGAAGTAACTCTGGCAGGAAACAAATCACTCATTTCACAATGGACAGATTTACTTCCCACATTTTAAGGAAAATCATAGTGGTTTATAAAACTGCAATCCAAATACACTAATAATAATCTGCAAGATATGAAATGTGTGACCTTATTACCCTCAAGATTTCATCAAGGGATAACAGTAGAGTGCACATTTGAATCTCTAGTGACTTAATCATAATTTTATACAAGCATAGCAGTAAAGGGCAGGGCATTTTTTTTCGCAAGTAGGACTATAAAAAAAGTAACAAACATAGAATTACAGATGATTTTTCTCTTCCAAAGGGGGAATGGCAAGATATAAAATGCCACTCATAAGATCCTCGTTTATACAATTTTCACAGTGCCCAGTAAAGATGTGATTTGATAATCTGGCAAGTGGGTGACCATATAACTTGAATGAATGAATGTATTAACATAATGTATATTTAGGTTATAACTACAATTTGTAAGGCCTACTCAACTGAAAGTTTACATGCATCATATTGTACAATTAAATCCAGTACAACGCTTAAAAACAACATGAGAAAACATACAATAGGTGGAAACACCACAACCAAAACCAACAGTAAGCATCGCATGGGCACACCATCAATCTGTCCCATAGCTTGTGAAAAAAGCCATATATTTAAAGAATATTGCAGGGTCAGGCAGCCCAAACCTCTGGAAGCATGCTATTACCATGACGGAAAAGTACCATGACAGAGAAGGCACACTTCCTAAGATAAAGCAAATCTTAGAGAAATCTCCACTGCACTAAATTCATGTAGCATCAGAACCCCAAGACAGATTCCTGATGAATCTCATCTGCTCTGAATATAACAGTGGTGGCAAACCTATGGCATGCGTGCCACAGGCGGCACGCAGAGGTGTCCCTGTGGGCACACGCGCCATCGCCCCAGAGGGAGGCGGGACCAAGCTGCTCCCCTCCACGTGCGCCTGCGCTCTTGCTCTGTTTCTCTCTGCACTAAAAGCCAGGGAGCAACTGCAAAAGCTGGGCAGATCAGGGCTGGATGGTGGAGGCAGCTGCCAGCATGACTCCAGGTAAGCCTCCAGAGCGATTTTGCGACACTCCAGCGGCTGGATACATGCTCCGGAGGCCTGGAGAAGGCCTCTGCTGCCCAGATCTACGCCTGCAGAGTTATTTCGCACCCCCCCTCCAGCCGTTCTGGGCAGCAGAGGCCTTTTTGCAGCACCCCAGCGGCCCGTTCTGGGCAGCAGGTCTTTTCGCACCGCCCCACAGCCGTTCTGGGTGGCAGAGGCCTTTTTGCAGCACCCAGCGGCCTGTTCTGGGCAGCAGTGGCCTTTTCACACACCCACACAGCTGTTCTTGGCAGCAGAGGCCTTTTTGCAGTGTCCCAGCGGTCCGTTCTGGGTGGCAGAGGCCTTTTTGCGGCATTCCAGCAGCCCGTTCCGGGCAGCAGAGGCCTTTTCCAAGTGGCGTCGGCAGCACGATCCGTGCGGCGGGGGGAGTGCAGAAGAACGCTCTGCAAGGGTTGGGTTGGACACATGTGGGGCTGCTGCCTCGCTTTCCATGCCATGCAGGGGTTGGGCTGGACTGGGCGCAGAGCCTCCATGCCGCTTCTCCTGCAGACATCGGGAGCACCCACTCCTCGTCCCGGGGCAGCTGCCACCGTCCCGCACTCTCCAGCCTGTCGCCAGCCAGCCAGGCGCGTTGAGCTCAGGCCTTGGGCAGATGGAGGCCGGAGGGGAGCAAGAGCCGTGACTGCCCGGCTTCTCCGCCTGAGGACCCGTGTGGGGAGAGACGCCGGCCGGCTCAGTAAGCCGTGGTTTGCCCGCAGCAGGAGGATGGAGGAGGAGGGCTGGCCGGGGACAGGCACAGCGCTGCCCACGGGGGGAATTTGACCAGCCCCAGCCTGGAGGGGGGGAGACGGCAGCATTTGGGAGTATAGCTGCCCCCTTTCCCCCCAAGCCATCAGCTGAGCAAAACGCCCTCCTGCCCACTACCCCACCCGCCAGAGACCCTCTGGATCTCCCCCAACCCTGCCTGGCCCCCACAGGCATCCCTCCCCAGGAGCAACATCGAGCTGGCCATGCCCACCCAGGCCATGCCTACCCAATCTGCCATGCCCACCGTAGACACACCCACCTAGCACCTGGCGATATATAAGTGGGTTTTGGGTTGCAGTTTGGGCACTCGGTCTCTAAAAGGTTCGCCACCACTGTCCTATAATTTCAGCACCATTTGGCTACACACTTTTTTCAAGAGATTCCTAAATTACAGATTTTCAAAGCTCATCTTTCTAAAGCAGGCATGTCAAACCCGCAACGTCACGTGATGTCGCGCGATGGGACTTTTTTCCCATTGCTGGCAATGGGGTAGGTGCGGTTTTGGCATGACGCATCTGGCCAGCTGGCCGGCAGTTTGACATACCTGATCTAAAGAGACAAAAGTTGCAAGAAGTTGAAACAAACTAAAAATAATAAAAGGAAAGAACTTATCTAGGCAGAAGTCTTTAGCCTCATGCATTCTTTGTTTATTGTCACAATTAGGAATCTTACTTCAGCCAGCCTTTCAACTGATAAATTGCATTTCTTCAGATCTTAATCTACTCTACATAGTGCCCTGTTTGATTGTTAATCTTTATTATATTTTAAAGGTTGTAATTACTTTAGTGTTTCTTTTCTTTACAATGGTAAAGTAAATAGTGGCAGCAATTAGTTTAAAATATAGTGTTTAGAATATAATTACTTTAGAATATAGTGGTGGCAATTAGTTCATCCTATTTTACAAGATAGTTTTCCACAAGAGGCATATAAAAATTAACAGAAATGAAGTAGGGGCTTTATTTTGAAACGGTATTTTCTCACTCCTGATATTATTTGAAAATCCAAATTGAAGTTTTCTGTCCAAATTTTAAAACACAGAAAGCGCTGCCTACACAAGAATGCCAAACAGAAATTGTCATAAAATGAGGAAAGACCTTCAAGCAGGATACTCACCTCTCTCTTCTTTTTGGCTTTGATCTCTTCATTGTTGTTGGCAAGGCTAGACTTCCGCTTGGTGCCCTCTGATTTCTCCCGAGGCTTGTTTTCACCTTCCTTCATTTTTTTGTATTTTTTCATAAACTCAGCAATTAGTTCAGGGCAATCAAGGTTCTTGTCAGGTTCCCAGGTATTATGCTCCCTGACACAATAAGAGATGGGCAACAGCGGGGGGAAAGGAGAATAACAAACAGAAGAAAAATTGAAGACATTCCCACTCAGTGATCACAAACATCAACTGAGAAGTGAGAGAAGTCATAATTCATAATCAATGTATGAAAGAACAATTCCGTTTTTTCCAGGAGTTCATGACAAAACCATACAATTATTTCTCATGTTTACTGAAAACCAGATTTGGTATAAAACTCATACTATCGAATTGAGAATTCCAAACACATGGAATACGAGACAGAACAAGAAATCATAATAATAAAATAGGCTAAAATGTTAACTATAATATATAGATAGACCAATAGGAAAATAAGTGGTTGAAAGGGTTAAAATTCACATTATGTTCTAATCTTAAAGGGACTTTTTATAAAATGATGTATCATTGATATTTGTCACTGGAGAAACTGTTTCTCAATTTCAAATCTTTGTTGGAAATGTGAACATGAAGGAATATTTTATCATGCCCGGTGGACGTGTAAAAAAGCTTTAAAAAAATGGATACAAATAATACAGGTAATCCTCAAAACTACAGTTGGACCAGAATTTCCATTGCTAAATAAAATGAGCCGCACCTGATTTTACAACCATTTTTACATGGTGTTAAGCAAATTATTATAGTTAAGTGAATCTTGGTCATTAAGCTAATCCAGCTTCCCCCATTGACTTTGCTTGTTGAAAGCCAGCTGGGAAGGTTGCAGATGCTAATCACATGGTCCCAAGGCACCGCAACCATCCTAAATACATGCTGGTTACCAAGCACCTGGATTTTGATCATATAACTATTGGGATGCTGTTTAACAGTCGTAAGTGTGAGAATTGGTTGTAAGTCACTTTTTGCAATGCTGTTGTTAACTTTGAATGGTTGCTAATTAAATGGTTGCAAGTCAAAGACAACCTGTACACTAATTCAGAATATTTTAAAAGTTAATTTGTATGTTCTTTTAAACTTCTAATAAAAAATTATGTACATATATATAAAAGGATGAATTCTAATTGTAGAGTTTGTCTTTGCTTCAAAAATGTGTATTAAGGCGCTTAAGAAATTTGTTTTATTTCTCTACCATCTCATTCCTGCATAAGGCTGTTATTTACAAATCAATTTTGATACCTTGATATAAAAAACATCTTATTATAAAAATGCATATTCTAAGAATGAGTTTCACAAATGGAACATATCCAGGCAAAGGGAGTTTCCCCAAATATTAGGTGGATTTCCTGTATACCAGACCAGCATGACATTTAAAATGCAAAGTATTTGTCAGGAGACAGCCTTATCTTACACATCAGGTTTCTCAAGATAGTAATTAAGATGTTAAATAAATACTAATAAATAAATTATAATAATCCTTTATTAAAGCCAATTAAAACCTTGTGGCAGCAAACTAATGTTTGAGGCTCAAAGAAACATCTTATCCAGGCTAGAAGAAATTAAAGAAATCCACTCAAAGGAAAAAGACATGATGGAGTAAAGGAAAAAAAAAAATCTCACAGGTTAAGTAGGCTAATTTGTGTCCAATATATAGATCACATATGCTAAATAAAGATCACAGAAAAATACCATATATGTGTGTGTGTGTGTGTGTGTGTGTGTGTGTGTGTGTGTGTGTGTTTTCTGAGGTTTTCGCAGGTGTTTGTATGTAGGTCTTTGGTTATTCGGGTTTTCTCCTGCGTAAAATTGGAAGTGTCTTGGCAACGTTTCGACGAAGTCCCATTCGTCATCTTCAGGCTGGTGTTTTCAGCTTTGTGCTTCGAGGAGCAATGAAGCTGAAAACACCTCGAAGCACGAAGCTGAAAACACCAGCCTGAAGATGACGAATGGGACTTCGTCGAAACATTGCCAAGACACTTCCAATTTTACGCAGGAGAAAACCCGAATAACCAAAGACCTATATATATATATTTATATATATATAAATAAAAGCATCTTCAGAATAATAAAAACAATTAAACGTATTTGCCACCCAACTCTCAGCAAGTCTGGGAGGATTAATAAGCAACAGCTATTTTACCTTGGTAACAGAGTAAGACCTCAGTATGTCTGATTAATTGAAACATTGCAATCTCTCCCCCCCCCCAACCAAATATAGGTAGTTTCTCCTTTTTTGCTGTGATATCAGAGGGACCTGCTGCTTCAGTTGCTGCACAATAGATCAATATCTCAATATTGGCTTGATGGATTTGCCTTCCTATAATAAGTAGTGTGCATCCATTTAAATATCTCATCCTCAAATCTGAATCTTGTAGATTATGATCCTAGTTTGATCTTTTGGAACTGTAAAACTACCTGGCAGAACCTAGGTCAATAAACTAGAATACAAATACATATGAATACATACAATCACAAAAATCTTTTGAGAGCATTTATTTTGGAGTAAGTGAGAATGTTCATCCCGGGTGCTTAAAATACCACCATTATTCTGCCTATCTTGCTCTGACACATTCAACTGGGAAGTTATCTATTCTTTTAAGTCCCATTACATAATCCTGGAAATTGCTTGGCCCATCTTGGCTTCACAGATTGTCAGGCATTATCTTGCAGTTTTCAACTTATTTTAATCGCTATAGCTAGAAATGTCCTTTAAAAAAGTAAAAATGGAAATATCTAGGATGCCGTTTAACACCCAATACCAAAATTCTGTGCCTGAATTATTTATTTATAGCGTTCCAGGAGCTTACAAAATTCCCACATGGTGCAATAGAGATATAATTAATTAAAATGGCAATTCAATTAAATCTCAATTTAATTTGATGTTTAAAACAATGTTAAATTTATTGAATATGATGCCATGGTAAAACTTAATCCCTAAGGCCTGTCAAAAGAGCCATGCCTCTGCCTGCTTCTGAAAGGGGCAAGGTATGCTAAAGGAGGGAGGTGCTACAGAGAACACCCATCACTAGGCCCTCTCCCTGATAGGTTGGGAACTCTTAGCAAGCACTCCTTTATTGTTTGGGTAGGAGGACAGAAACAGTTGGGAAAAGGTACTACCTAAGATGCCCAATTTTGAGCCATTATAAGGCTTTGTAGGTAATTATCAGTTTTGAATTGCACTTTGAAACTTACTGGTAACCAGTGCAGCTCCTGCCACAGAGGCAGTTTTGTGAAGCTTCCACACAGTCCTCAAGGGCAGCCCCGAGTACAGCAGGTCATAGTAATCTTATTTGGAGATGAGAAGGGCCTGAAATCATCTTCAGTACACTATGTTCCAAGGAAGCTGCACTGATGAACAAATTGAAGCTGTGCAAAAGCCCTTCTGGCCATGGTCTCCGCCTGGTCTTTTGACCAGTAGCCATTCACAAACACAAACTGATTGCAATCGTGTGCTTGCCCAAAGTTGCACTTAGCACAAAGATGGTGCAATCCTGGAATCAGACATTCTCTGAAACAGTAACTACTCTGTCTTGTTTGGGTTCTATTGGAGCTTGTTTTTCTCCAGACTGTGACTGCCTCCAGACATCAGGTCATGACTTCGATCTTTCTCCTAGTAGGCCTACGTAGAAAAGTACAATCACTTATAGATGATCCTTTGCTCCAAACCAACAGATAATCTCTCCCAGTGGTTTCATATAGATGTTGAATAGGGGAAAGGACTCAACTAGGGACCCCATACAGAATTGCCTAGGAGTCTGACCTCTTTCCCTCCACAGTCAACATCTGGACACCTCGGGTGGGAGTGGAACCATTACAACATCATGCCTCCAACTCTCACCCCTTGCAGGCAATCCAGAAGGACCGTGATCGACGGTATCAAAGGCTACTAAGAGATTCAGAAGAACAAGGATGGTCACATCCAAGCCTCACTGTAGGACAGCCGTAAGAGTGACCAACATGCTTCCATCCCATGCCCAGGTCTAAACCCAAACTACCAAGGGTTAAGATAATCTACCCTCCAAAGCCTTCTGCAATTGCAGCACCACCACTTAATCAAAAAAGGAAGATGATGTTTTTCTAATCTTGCTGTTATCTAAACTTGTCTCTTAAGGAAGTTCTTCTTTATGGGCTTCTAGGATTTCCCCTTCTCTCAAAAGAGTTATTGATTACAGCCTGGATCCTACTTCTAAGTCCCCCTTTTGACTGTTTTTATTAGCCAAGTGGGGCAAAGGTCCAGTCCACAATGGGGAAGCTAAGATCACAGAATTAATTATTGCAGAATTAATATATTATAGTGTGGAGTGGAGGGAATTAACTTTTTTTTCTCCATGCAGCCTTTTAAGCAACTGTGCTGGTGAATAACTCAAGTGGAACTACCAACTCTGTGAAGTGAGAGAGGGAACGCAGATGCCAGTATTTCCAAAACACATTTTAATGTCCCAGGCTTTGCCTCATGACCCACTTGTTTAAATGGATGCACGCCACTCTTATTTGGAGTGAGCAAAGCAAGCTCCCACCTGTAGGGTTTACCTTCCTCCTTTAAGGGAAAGCTTGAAAAACGGCAATGGATTTTTAATTTGAAATACTGCCTGGAGCTCTGCCACCAAGAAAGATCAAAGCCCACGTCAGAAGGAAAGTTGGACTTACTCAGAGAATCCTTTCCACTTGAGAAGATACTCCACTTGACCCTTCACAACACGCCTGTCTAGAACCTTCTCCACAACATATTCCTCCTCCTCTTCAGAGGACGAACTATCTGCTGTCCTCTTGTTTCTTTTTCCCATAGCGCAGAAGTTGTACCTAATGCACCAAGGCTACCCAATTCCTGCAAATCGGAAGTGAAATGTTAATTGGTGGTAACTGCAAACCGGTTTCTGTTTCCATAAATCTCATGCTAAACATCCATCCATATAGTACACATCTCAAAGAAGTCATGTCTGATTACTAACATTCATTGCTTACGAGGAAATCTGGAAGCATATTTTAGAGAATTTCTATATCAAGGAGAAATAAACAGTTAATACTTTTCTTCCATGTTCTCCTTTAAGATGGTTGATACAAGCATAATAGTCCACAAAGCCACATACAATGTTAAAGCTACCTATATTCAGCTGAAATATCAACTGTTTTGCTAGTAGTTGCTAAGGACTATATATATAATTTATAACATCCCCCAAAAAACTATCTCATAAAAAATCCACAATAACATTAGTCCACAACTCATTAAATATCAATTTTTATTTATTGTAGATCTGATTGGAATTCAACAAATTGAGTATTGTTTTCATTTTAAATACAAAATTCTTTGTAGATAAAAATGAGTATATCTAAATCAAAGCCCAATCTTCTACATTTATTAGTATATTCCTAGGCCCTATTTATTTAAATTCTATCTTTCCTCTAAAAAGTGTTTTAACATAGGTATCAATTATTTAAAATGAATGACTGAAACCAAGAAAGTCTTGTCCTTGCCTGTGTCCACAGATATTTATTCTGCAGTGTCTTATTCTTAAAATGGTAATTTCACATACATTTTAAATGAATAATTCATATAACACTTCTAGAAAACAAAATGATTTGTCATTGTCATCTGCAATGTACAAAGGACCTGTAAGACTGTTTAAAAATCTCAAATTTAAATGTTTAAAAGTTTGAGAAGTGTAAAAATCTTCTCAAGCAGAGGGAGCATCCTGATTATGATTCCCCCCTCCATTTTCCCTACTTTAATGTTAAGTGCATGAAGAAATGTACCTCCCACTTTTTTCACCTTTAGCACTTTTTAAAGGTCTTCTTGAAAACAAATCAGAATGAAACTTTATTAAGTCACTGAATGAATTCAGACTTTTTTACTCCACTTTTGAGCAGAATTAAAATTTTCCAATTTAGCTTACTTTGCCTCAGGATCCAGGTTCCACCAAATCCAATATATATTCACAGAAAACTTTGATGAACTTGCAGGGATTACTAAAATTATGCTTTTAGAATAATGTTGAACATAAAAAAACATGTTTTTGTGCTTTCTAATAATCACTGTATATGTATTCAGTATAAAGATTTCCAGATACTAAGGCAATATTTCACTTCCTGGAAGTAAGAACCAATGAACTCATTTGTACTTACTTTGGAACACAGTACAAAGATAAATTTGCACTCTAAATAACTTAGTTGAGGAAAGAAAAGCCAGAAAGTATGTCAAGTTGGAATTTACAATAAGTTACCATTATAACAGGTATTGTATTTACTTGATAGTCTACATCCTGTTTTTCAAAAGTTCAGGAGGGCTTCCATGGGGATTGCACTTCATTTTATCTCCACAACAATCTTGTGAGATGGATTAGTCTGAAAGTGACTGGCCCAAAGTTACCCAGTAATTTTCCATGGCTAAATGTAGGTTTGAACCTGGGTCTCCTTGATCAAAGTCCAATACATTAACCATTATACTATAGTGTGATGCACAGAAAATATACATTTGCTTATATTGCTAGATTCCCCTTATTACTCATGTTACAGAAGCATATAAACATTATACTTGGTGGTATAGTGACTAGGGAAAGGGGTCATTCTGGGAATATTAGAAATGTGGATGGAAAGTGGATTTTAAAAAGGCTAGGAATAAAAAGGGGGGGGGAACAGAAATGACACTTTTGACAGCAAAAGTGTCCCCTGACATGAAATATTTAAATCTTTGCTTCAACGGTAATTGGATGTTTACTTTGTTTTTAAAAAACCCTTCAAATATTGCTCTACTTGTACACAGTTAAAAGATAAACACATTATCTTAAATCCACATCTTTCCACTGTAAAAACAAAACATACACATACATAACAGGTTATTTATATTCATAGCAGTTAGAGCAGTGGTTCTCAACCTGTGGGTCGGGACCCCATTTGGGGTCGAACGACCATTTCATGGGGGTCACCAAACAACACAGTCCGCCATTTTTTTTCCCTTTTCCTTAGCTGTGCTACACCTTTTTATCCTATTGGCTTTTGAAAGCCAATAGAATAGACTCTCTTGAACAGAGTCTAATTCTATTGGCCTTCAAAAGCCAATAGGAATTGTCCAGGCTGTCTCTGCCCTGCTGAGCCCGCCAAAAGTCCCAGTCTGCAAACGGTGCTGCACCAGTTAAGTAGTCCTCGACTTACGACCAGTTGAGTAGTCCTCGACTTACGACCGGTTGGGGGTCGCGGCATTAAAAAGGTTGAGAACCACCTAGTTAGAGGATCCATTTGTTAATTAGGTAATTTAGTGGATGTATTGATAGACAAAATTAAATTTAAAAAAAAGCCATACAAATAAGTGAAAGTTTAATTCAAAAGTGAGGTTGAAAGACTAAATAACTGAAATGATTGATTCTTCTTATGACCTAGAGTCCCACTGCTACAGCTACAATAATCTGGAATGCAGTGATGTTGTGTTCACGGATCAGTAGTTAAAAATTCTGTCACAGCTACTTATAAAAAGGCGTTATTTTTCCAGCAATTTATAACTTAGCCATAAACATTCACCACAGTTTGAATTATTGGCTTACAAGGACTCAACTCTGAATGAATGCTAATATTCCGCCCTTCAAAGAAACATGTGGAATTGATTGATTACATGCTCTTAGTGAGCACATAGCTAGACTTATTCCAAGATGATCTGTCTCCAATCTGGCTCTTCAGGTCTTCCAAGAGTAAAAAATCAATTACCTGTACCATATGAGTTACCAGACTGCAAGGGGGAAGGGGAATAATTATACTCTCCTTGAGCAATTATAAATTACACTCCCAGTTTTAAATAATTTGAATGTAATATATGATTAGTTCATAAACACTATTCAGCTTTGCTTGGTGTAGAGCTTTAAAAAACTTATTAATTACATCATTTTCATTAATATAATTACACAATACTGAAATAAAATTATGTCATTTAAACTGCTTTATTAACAATGGTAATTTTATTTTGTATTTTAAAACAGATTTTGTCCATCCATTGTCTAAGACCAAAATGAAATTCTGTTAATTGTTTCTAAGGTCTTTTACACTAAGTTCCGGAAATCTCTGTTTTACTATACTTCCAGAAGACTGAAACCATTAAATATTACAGGGAGGGAGCACAGGGTAAGGACATTTATATTTAAACCATTATTTTACTTATTAGTGACCCCAAGTATGAGTTCCAATTCGAAGCACTGATGTGTCTGCAAAAAAACGAACAAGCTCAGAAAGCACCAAGGACCCCTCAACTTGAAGTCTTTAAACTTTTGCAATCTATAACAATGTGGTGCTAAACTCCATTTATTTCTGAACAAGAGTTTAATATTTTCACATTTAATAGATTGCATTTAAATTGTCTTAACTAAGTCTATTTACTCTGCAAAATACTATTAACCTAGAGATCAACAAAAGAAATTTAAAAAGCAATCTCCTTGTTGTGACTAAGCAGCACTGAATGACACTCACTTTGGCAAACATAATTAAAGAGAAACAATGACAAATAAACCTTGACATGCACTTATGTTTATTTGCTCACAAATTGTCTAAAACCTTTTAATTCTTTGTAATAAGGTTAAAAGGAGTATTTCTCTGCTTGTTGAAACATCTGTTCACAACCAGTCACCATTAAATGTCTCAAGCTGCAATAAACCAAACTATATACCGTGTTTCCCCAAAAGTAAGAGCTACCCCCAAAATAAGCCCTAGCTTGATTTTTGTGGGTGGGCCTAATATAAGCCCTAGATTTGGGGCGAGGTGCACCCTAAAAATCAAGCTAGTAGGGAGGGTGGAGCTGCCCCACACGTCCCAACACCCACTTTCCATTGCAGCCTGCCTCTCCTCACCAGCCCACATCTTCTGCAGTATCCTTCAGCCTGCATTTCGCTGTCAAAGGCCTTCCAGAAAGGCCTCTGATGGTGAAATGCAAGCCGGAGTTCCATTCTCAGCTGCAGAGGTATTTCCTTCAGCCACAGAAGAAGTGGGCCAGCTGGGTGGGTCTGTGAGTGCCGCCACCGTGAGGTAAGACACCCCCCCAAAATAACACCTAATGCCTCTTTTGGAGGAAAAAAAATAAGACTGGGTTTTATTTTCAGGGAAACACAATATATATACAGGGTTTAGATTTCATGTAAGTTTGAGCAACGTTAAAAACATAAATGTAGAAAGAATGTTGTAACTAAACTATATTAAACCAGTAGAAGACAACATATTATCTACAACTAACATTCTAGTTACCTAGGAGTTCAGATGAATATGTTTGTTATTTATCCTAGCAAATATCTTTAGACCATGTAAAATGGATAAGAACTCAATATTTATTTATTTACAGAATGTATATGGCTGTTGGTTCAACTTGAACAATATGACTCAAAGTGGCTTACAACTCACCCAAACAATAAACAATAAAATTAATGACAGGCAAGCTGATTCATATTCATACTATTTCAGAGTCATTTTGTTACGAGATGGGTGGCAAGTAAGTTTAATAAATAAATTTCCTGATGGGAACTTACTCAGGCCCCAACACTCTGGGTAGTCATATTTTTAAGCCATTTCTAAACAGAGCCAACTGAAAAATGGGAAAAAGATTTGGCTCTTAACATGTGGCACTGTTTTACTGAAGAGACCCAAAGCATGCCCACTCTATTAAAATGAAAGGGACACGCAGATGTCTTTAGGAAGAGGTAATCACAAAAAATAACCCAATCCTTTGCCCAATAGGATTTTTTAAGTATAACCAGCACCTTAAATTACACCTGGAAGTTATTAGAGAGCCACTGTAGCTGACGTTACATGGGTAAGCAAAGGTGTGCCCATAACTACCCACACTGATAGATTCTGCACCAA